GGGAGTCAGCGTGACGATTCTCGACTCTATTTACGAACGCGTTGCCCCCCAACAAGCGGAGGAGGCATGATCACGCGCTCGACCCTACGTCCCGCGTGCAATCCGCGTCGCTCGGGCTGTCCAGGACGAAGGTTACAGGAGTGAAGAGAAGAAGAAAAGAATGAACAAGCGATCTTCTGCCGACCTGCACGCCTCATGCGCGTGTCTTATCTTATTGTCCTTGGTCTTCGCACGCTGTACCGGCTCCTACGTGAGGTGCGATGCATCTTCGTCCGGTTGTAGAGCACGAGGTAAAGAGATTGAGATGGTGTGGGGAGGTCGGGGTAGTCTAGCGATGGAGACTGAGACGGAGCGATCATGGTTCCGAACACGAAGCGCGCGACCCGCGCTTGCAAGTCATCTTCCTGCGGATTTTGCCAGTGAACCACTTGGCCCTACCACAGATGGGCGACAGTTCAATGCTGTCCTCAGCATCGCCAACCAATACATCAGCCATTATTCAGAAGGGAAGAAGAGAAGTGCGAGAAATTATACCACCACCTTACCACCAGGGGTGCCGGCTAGGTGCCATATTGCACAAGTCGTCCAGATTGGATGCCATGATGGTTACAAGCTCGTTGTTGTTGACCAGGACAGACTCCTCCCTTGCGATGTCGCCAATGCGCCAACAGGGCAAATCTTCTCGTAGGGATCCGAATATGCGCGCGTTCTCGTTCTTGAGCTCGCTCACGGCCTCGACCCCCCGTGAGGAACGATCCGCAGCGGCCGGCGCAAGACGTTCGCGATGCATAGGGAGGTCCGTCATTGATTGCTTCTCGTACCTGTAGAAAAACTTCTTGATTCTGTCAGCAGCGAAGGCTCCCTTCATGATGGTCCCGTCGAGCTCCGTCAATTCGTAGAAGCGGTCAATAACCCGCCGTACTACGTACGGGCCAGCCCATCTCAGCGCACCCTTGTGTCCGTGCTGATTATCTAGCCACGTCTGGTGAACCAGGACGAGCGTTCCTATCGGCCACATCTCCTTCTGTATCTTACCTGCGTACTTCCTTTCGTGCGCTTCGACAGCCTTCTTGCGATTCTCGTTGACCCGATCCATTGCTCTCCCGATGTCGACTTCGCGCCGCGTGATCTGCTTCAGGCGAAGAGCCAAGAGGTCAGCAGTATCCTTGACGGCATACCAATCGAGCGCCGACCACGTTCGGTCCGCAACGTCGAAGCCAAAGACGGGGTTCTGCCCATACAGAAGGTAGTAAGGGGTATACCCTGTCATTCGCGATGTCGTTGTGCGCATTGCGAGCAGAGCACCGTGGAGGTATAGTGGCCAGTCGCTCGCGTTTGTCCCGCTCGCTTTGAGGATCGAGTTGACGAGCGTGGGATGTGCACGTTCGGCCACGCCATTGGCTTCCGGGTGATATGGGGCTACAAGAACACATATGATGTTATACTTGTCAAATAGATACTTTACCGCTCCCTTGAATTCAGGTCCATTGTCGCAGACAAATACCGGTATGCATGAGAACCTGCAGATAATATCAGTATAGATGAACTTTGCCCATGCCTTAGAAGTATTGCGCTTGGCAGCGCGAGCTTCGGGCCATCCAATTGCGGGCTCCATTGCTTGCAGAAGGTAGCGCATGCCTCGTCGTCCTTTGGGCATGTATACTGTATCGATGTGGAATTTGCGGAGTACAGCGACAGTCCACGACGGGTTGTAGGACATGATCGGCCTTGATTTCGACCGGAATTGACATGCGTTGCAGGAGCGAACAAAGTCGGAGACGTTCACGAACATATTTGGCCAGTAATATCGTTCCGAGAGCCTTAGGTACGTCGCGTCGCGTCCCCGGTGCCCACACTGATTGTGTGCTTCTTCGAGCAGTGTTTTGCGCCTGGGTTGATCAGTAATAACGAGACGGGGCATCTTCCCTTTCTTGACATACCAGAGCCGTCCATCGGACAGCGTGAAGCGAGCGCACATTGATATGAACTTACGACGGGCTGCTTGCGTTTCGAGGTGACTTGGAAGTGTGCTGTCTTGTAGGTAGGCCATGATTTCGGCCCATTGTCCCTCGTTTTCTTCGTCAGGCCTGCCGAAGCGATGGCCCGCACTCACATATCTTTCACTGGAAATGTCAGGGTAGAACACCCGCGTCTCGGACACCCTTTGCGAGGGGGCATTCCCATAAGGAGAACCCAACGACTCACCGACCCTTTGCGGCGCAATCCAATATGCGTAGCGATACTCTGTAACTAGGCATTCCACCTCCTCGTCTCCTAACTGATAGACCTCTGAATGTTCTTGGGGCACATTCCGTTTCATGAAGTCGTTACCGATGAAGAACTGCCCATCCGAGTCTTGAAGAGATACACTTGCTGACGTCCATGGATCTTCTCCCAGAAGCGAGCTGTCGGTGAGGGTAGTGAGCACGTATTCACCAGCGGACGACACCCCGAGTGTCGAGAGGTTGCTGGCTGTTGATAACGATGTGGTATCAAGAAAGAATTCTCGGCTCCTCGTCGTCCGGAGACGGTGACCAAAGAGAGTAAGTGCATTTCGAAGTTCCATACCCGCAAATACCTTATCAAGATAAGCCTCAGCATTTGATTCGTCCGTGTCGTCCGGAGCTTGGGGACGTCTTGACAGCGCATCAGATGCCTGATGAGCCATCGCGGGTACATGCTGCATGTAGAAGTCGAACAGCTGTATGTAGGATACCCAGCGCGTCATGGGTGCATTCGGAAGGTCAGCTGAATGGATCATCTGTTTCAGGAACTTGGCATCTACATCCAAACGGAAGTAGAGGCCCCAGATGCGATGCCGAAGCTCCTTAAGAGCGCGGAACACTCCGTATAGCTCTAACTTGGGTTGCGAATACCTGGACTCTGTCGCTGAGAAGGTGCATGATCCGAACAATGCAGGATGCTTGTCAGTCTCACGCATTTGATACAAGACCCACCCGGCGCCGTATTTTGATGAGTCGACTGCTACAATGACAATTCCGTGATCGCTAGGTCGTCCATCATGAGGCGAGATTGCTCGCGCGAGTTGATAGTCGATAGGCTTCAATACTGGTGCTGTCGTCACCCGTTGCTTGATTAGATCCATCGCTTCTTGTGCGTCATTTGTCCATGCAAAGTCAACAGACTTTCGTGTGAGTCTGGTGAGTGGTCGCACGATAATCGAGAACCCTTGTATCCATCGTCGAGCAACCCCAGCAATTCCTAGAAAGCTGCGCACTTCTGAAACATTAGTACAGGACATCCACTTCAAGACTTTGTTTACAACCCCATGTGCCAGATGCCACCCGAGCAGCGATGCTATAGAACCTACTATGTGCAATTCCGGGGTTGCTGCCACCAGTTTGTAACCTGACGCAGTGATTCCCGCGAGCTCAAACCTGCAAAGAATGCGGTTAACCGTAGTGAGAAATTCATACACAAACCGACGAATGGGTGATCCCGGAACAACGGGCATGTTGTTGTATGTGCTACAGGGACCCTTGATGCCGACATCATCCACAAATGCTCCAGCGTGGTGAGGAACTTCATCACGAATGACATGGGTTATGCAGCGCTGAAACTCCTGTACTGCGTTGCAGAAGCCTTGCGGAAGTGTCGTCAGCCGGTGTGCCCCAATAAGGCAGTCGAACGTGGTCAGATCCCTTGAAATCTCGGCTAACCTCCTGTTGTCGTAGCCTGAGAAAAGGTCAGCTATCATGTAGATTGCATACCCGACAAAGCTTTCTGCGAAATCATTGACATTAGGTGGGAGTGCCGAGTCGCGAATCGTGACTCCATTGAGGGGCTGCAGGTCGTGACATATTCTGTACTTGCCCGTCTTCTTTTCAACAATAATGATGCGAGACCTATATGAGGCAGATGAGGGTTCGTACTTGCCCGCATCACGCTGCTCAGTCAGGAGTGTGTATACATCATCTTCAATTGCTCGCGGAACTCGGTTGGGCGGCAGCTGCCAAGGAACATGTTCAATGGTAGGAATTGCGTAGTCCGGAAAGTATCTAGGAGAAAAGGTGCCGCGTTCGGCGTCAGTGAATGCGAGTGCGAATTGGCGCTCCTTTAGTACGAAGACAAGAAGGTCTATCTCACGTGCATTGAGAAACCCACTAGGGACAGTCTCCAGTATTATTTGAAGACGCTCTCGCGTGAGGCGTTCGGAAGGCTCAAAATTGGCTAAAGATGGGGGTTCCAATGGAAGTGGCTCGAGTTCTGGTGATGGAATAGGATTAAAGGCTTGCGCAGAGGGGTTCGGCATGTATGAGGGTACCGGTCGGACTTTGCGATCAACGGGCTTGTAACGTTTTACGGGAGCAGATGTCCGATCGTGTCCCAAAGCTCGATCGACCCACAGGGATTCACGGGGTGTTGTATTAGTGGGAGCTGTATAATAGAATTGTCGAAGGAATGAGTCATATTGTTCTGGTGGCTCGAGAGAAGAAATAAGGTCAGCAATATTATCAGGATCATTGTACGCATTGCACAGGGTATAGAAAGTACGCCCGATGGACGCTTGGGGCACAGCGTGCGAATTCGCATCGGGTCTAGCTGGTCCCGTTAGTAAAAATCCTGCGCGTCGTGCCGCTCGTGAGACTGTACGAGGCGATCGACATTTCTGTCATGATGAGGCGCAACCAGTTTAAGAGAGACAGCCGGCCCGTCACCCTCATCTCCTTTCGGATAGATGGTTAGAGTCATAGGCCCTGCACGACTATACCTTATCATTGCAGCATACCACTGTAGCCACGGCTGCCCAAGAATGACATCTTGCTTTCCTATACTCCCTCCGACCTGGGTGACGAAGAAGTGGTGGCCGAACCTGTGTCCTCCAATTTCGATGGGTACATCGCGCGCGCATCCTTGCAAGGAGACCGGTTCGCCACTGATCCCGCGAAGTGACCAGCGAG